CTACTAGCGATGGCCTCCAACCTACTAGCCATCGCCTCCAACCTACTCGACAGTTTAAGTGACTATTCCCATCTCTCGGTCCCAACCACTTCTGATGTAGCAATCGTTTCTCCAAGGCCAGAGTGTAATCGTTTCCTGTTCCCAGACGTCTCATGTATGGACGCATTGACCCCTGAAACCACCGGGCATCGCTACTAGTAGCAAGAACGCTACGAACGTAGCTCCTGGCATTACTACTATATATAGTAACAAGAAGCTACTAGGTTGGAGACCATCACTAGTAGGGTGGTATGCAAAGCAGTCCCACAGTCGTGCTTGAGCCACACCATCCCAGGGCTTCGCTGCGAGGCCCGGTGGTTCGGTTGGTCAGACTTCACCGACCCGTCCGACGGAAGTGGGTCCATGGGGCCTGGAGTCGTGGCAGACGAAGCGTCGTTTCTTTCCTTCTCGTCCGACTCAGAGGGGAACCGACGCGACGACTGGGGATGGAGTCCGGGTGTTTTGCGGGGTTCCGAAGCCTTCCGATTGTGCGTTCCTTGCCGCACCGCAGCCCGCACCGCGTGATTCACCTGCGATCCCGGGAGCGCGTGAAGCTGATGGAAGGACACTGGGAGTGCTACAGGCTTAGCATTAGGAGCACTAGTTTGCACCTTAGGTGTTGCAGGATGACCTCCATGGAACATGTTTCTTGGACATGCCTTTTGGCAACTGGCAGGGGTTGTGCACAAAACAGAATTTTGTGTGTATTTATTTGAGATTGTTTTTGCCAGGTGATGCTCCAAGCCAGGAAGGTTTCAGCGAACCTCAGGCAGAACTGGGACGCGACTTCGGGCCGATCTGGCTATAGCAAGTCGCACATTGAGGCCGTACCAATCCAAATAGACCAAGCATGACCCCCCCTGTGTACAAGAACATCTTGGAAATGGCGCGTTCTCTAAATGGATTTCTACCTTCTGGGAGTGTTTGCTTTTCGGTGGTCCCTAGCTGCTATAAGAAATAGAGATCCCAGTCGGATGGGTCCTAGCAGCTAGGAGCAGAGCGCTGCAGGAGATTCACTGCCTTGTTGGAAGGGACACTGGTTGTTGGGATGTGGTTTTTCAGGGTGGGATTGGACGAAGAGGCCCAGGGAGCGGACGCCAAGTGCACGCTTTGGAGCTTCCCAGGGCACTAGGAAGGGCGATGAAGGGCACGTCATTAGCAGCACATCGGATAGCACGTCATTAATTGGCAGCCCCCAAAAGGAGCTTCCACACTGAGCGACGCATGCAGAGATGGATTTGAGATGGATTCGGCCTTGGGACCCACCTGCACGCCTGACCAGGCAGTGCCGAAGGTCTTCCAAGCAACCCCTCGCAGGCGAGAGAGGTCTCGATCCAACAAGGGAACACCCGGATGCCAAAGAGATTGGCCCTTTAGACATGTTTGTTTTTAAGTAATCTATATGTTTGGGGTGTTGCTTTGTCCTTTGAGCTTTGGTCTTGCTTTGTCTTGGTTTAATCTAGCCGCTCTTTTTTTTTGGGGGGGTATTTGGTCTTGCGTTGTCCTTTGAGCGGTGTTTTTTCTTTGCAACATACTTGGTGGGGGCTTGTGCGGGGCGGTATTTCAAGATGAAAAGGTCCACCGGATGGCATGAATAGGATCCTTGGTAGTACTCTCAGTATATGCTTGGCAAATCTTGCAGAGAAGACTTTAGGGAGGCACGCGTCACTGGTTGAAAGGGTGATGGTTTCATCCCCAGTGAGGCGGCACCTCCCAAGAGCGTCAAGACGAAAATCCATCACGTGAAAGAGTCATGAAACTGCCTTTGGCATTGGCCATCGTTGGCCATTCGTGTGTGCGATCACTCTTGTGAGCTTTTTGTTCAGGGCAGTGCTGCCTCGCCTTTTGTAAGATTGGGGATTGCCCCAGCGTATTTGGACAGGACCTGACTAGGAGATACCCTCGAGAAAGTCCTCATCCTCATCCTCACATCATCAGCATCATCTTAAGCATCAGTTGCATATGAACCGACTTCGGCGTTGGCGTTGCTAAGTCAGGGATCCCCGGCCGTGCCAGGCACTTTGCACACCTGGCACTTCCCGGGTCTGCAGGCCGGGGCCGGACACCAGAAGTGTCGGACCTGAGGATCGTTAGAGGCTTTACGGGGGTTCCTCAAAAAATGGAGACAGCTTCCAAAAGTGGTTGAATGAGGCAATGAACGGCTTTTCTCCATTGTTCAGGGTCACTATATACCAGGCCTTGTTTTGGTTGCTGCTTTGTTGGGTGGTTTTTATAATAGGTACCGCACATGGTTTGGGCCATGTCCTGTGGTTGATGTCTCGTCGTCCTCGAAGGCTTTCAGGTGGTCCAGATCGAGGCAACCCCCTCGTGCGACCACGTCCAGAGCGATTTCCTGACAGGGTTCGCTGGGCCCACGGAACCACTGGCGATGGGCATGGGCAGCAGCTGCGAATGGCAGGAGAGATACACATATATGATCATGTTTGTTTCTCGTTGGAACAGGTCAGCCAGGGGAGGGTCCTTGGAGTCCTTGGATATTTTTTTTTGAGACCTTCCCTTACCTGACCTAAACAGAACTTGTGAACGATCAAACCCTTATTTGTGTACCCACTTCTACTGTGTTCTGTGTACCCTTCTATCCTGCCTGCTTCTCCTCAAATAACAACTGGGAGCCATAGATACAATGCTTCACTAGGCGTCAAGCTCTGACTTGACCTTATTCTACGGACCGTCTGCGGAGCCTGCAAACGTCCCTGTGTGCAACACTGTGGAATCCCGTCATGTTATCACCATGCTAAGCAATTTTGGCTGTTTTCCGACCGCAAAAATAACACTTGGATCAGTTGGATCTTTTATTCTCTTGGCATTTGAACTGGTCAGATTCCATGTGGGAGAAGGTTTGGACCAGGCGGATTAGGACTTTATTACTGCAAGACTCCAAAAAATAGACATTTGGGCAAGGGAGCTTGACATTTCCACCCGGGTTGCCCCACTAACAGCCAGTGATGCGAACCATTTAGTATGGACCTTGACATGAGGAGCCAGTGTATGTTGTATTGAAGTCCAGCTCCTATGGCTGGGAGTTGAACACACCTGAGCCCCACATCGCCCCCTGTGCTCATATCATATGGTGTCAGGGTTTCGGCAGATGTTTATTTGATAGATGGCCCAAACCAACATTTGGGAGTCAGTAGCGGTGAAGTTGGATGGATCTTCATGCGCTAAGCTGAAGCCTGAACCTTCGCCTGAACCTTCGCTGAAGGAGAGCCCCCGACCACAGCCAGCGCAGCACGAGCCTGAGGGTTGAGGGGACAACTTCGCGAGAGAGAACTTGGTGTTTGTAAAAACTCAGCAGGTGAGACGTTTCTTCAAAATTCTTCAAACACTTCAAAACCGGTAGATGAACGACAGGCTTCATGGTCCATCAACCGTAGTAGGGAGAGAGAGAGAGAGAGGTTTGTTGGACTGCGCAGAAACTATGAAACCTTCCCAATCGCTCAAGGCTCAAGGCTCAATTGACCAAGAGGAAAGGGGAATCCCTTGAATTCATGAAGGTGATGACAGCTGTGCTCAACTTAAGTTCTTGTTGAGCTGCAGTGCCAATCCGCCCCAGGGTCCATCTCCTCTATCCGAAACGCGCTTCAGCTGAGGCGTGGGGCCCGCAGGGCCAAGGCCAAGTGCGTACAGTGACGGAGGGTCTCACACCTTGTGCTACAAGATTGGTAAGACTATTTGGCTGATGGGTAGAGCTGGAGGAACATACTAGTTGTAGAGATAAGTTTCAGCGACTGATGCAAATCGCGAATCTCACAACATGCCACCGTAGCACTGAACATGCACAACCACCATGAAAAATCGTACCAAGCTGTGGGTGGGATTGCAGCTGGACCAAGCTCAGTCACGCGCCATGATGCAGCATGGCACGCTATGAATGTCATACCTTGGGTCTGTCCTATTACCTGTAAAGCCGTCGGCATACAATCATCACTAGTTCACACTATTACAAACCATTTTAGAGAAAGGATAGAGAAAGGCCTGCAACTGAACCATCATGATCCACTGTTAGTGGGAATGGGGTGATGCCGTATACCCAAGTCATATACCCAAGTCCATGAGCGCCCACCCGCTCTGAGCTCGCTCGGCGCTGGCTCGGACCCGACGAGGCGGACGGCTTGCTACTCGGTGAGCCTGAATTCGATCCAACTGGTCACCAGTGGGCCAAGTGAGATGGGCCAACTGGTCACTGCACATCAGGAGATGGGCCAACTGGGCCAACTGTATATACTGTATATATATTAACATACATATATATATATATATTGGTGCAACAATGTACCAATTGCTGTCTTGGATCGGAATTTGCCATGTTGGTCCCTTGGTGTTGCGGGGGTGGCCTGGTGTTTGGAAATGTTTGGGAAGCGTGAAGCCCCGTGCGACCAGCCGCGAACACCGTGAGTGATGCATCCTCGATGCCGGACGGTTTGTGGGCTGGACCGGGCACCTGTGGGAAAGACAAGTGGACAAAGAAAACACCGGAGCTTTGCTGGCCGAATCGGTTCTTTAGTGAGTGTTAGTGTCAGTGTTAGTTCGTGCGTGTATGTGTGGGTGGGTAGGTGGGTGGGAGATGTTTTCCTCGGTTTTCCTTTCACCAGACAACTGTCCAAACCACCCGATGGTGACCAGAGAGGCCCAGCCGGGCTTTGAAGCGCGGCCTGCTGAAGGCGGCCGGCTTCGGCGGCTCAGCCGTTGGGATGCGCAGCGTGTTTGACCGGTGAAGTGGCCGGCCCAAGAGAGGCTGCCTCAACTGGTGAAGCAAAGGTGTGAAGATTTTTGCTTCGATGCGTCAGCCAAAAGGTTTGAGAGTAGGTCGAAGGGTGCTGAGAAGGGGGTGTAAAGGTGCTGCCGGGTGAGCAGCGGCTTTCAATTGAGGGGACCCTTTATTGATCGGATCCAGCATGTTCAACACATTTTGCAAAAACCATGGGGACATTATGATTTGGCATTGGAGAAAAAAGTGCGAAACAGCTTGAGTTTTCCCACAGAAACTGCCGCTGGCTCAAGGATTTGCAATAAATAAGTTCAGCCTTTGACCTTTGTAGCTCAAATGTGCATCCCTGGGACATGTTATGAGAGCGCACGACGGCTTGCAGGCCTAGATGCAGCAAGAAACATGTATATTGTATGTAATTACATATGTACGTATACATATAGATGGATAGATAGATAGATAGATAGATCGATTAGATAGATTAGATAGATTAGCTAGTTTAGATAGATAGATGGATGGATAGATAGATAGACAGACAGACAGACAGACAGATAGATAGATAGATAGATATGAAGATCATACTATGTTTGAAGCAGCCTTTCATGCGTCAGGTTGTTTGTAGAATATGAGGCTGCAACAAGTATTCCAGATTGATTCTTCAGGGGACTGGATAGTCAGAGTGATAGTCAGCTATGGATCCCCAGAGAGCTGAACCATCATCCTCAGTCATGACTACCAACTTATACATCATCCTCAAACCCAAAAACATGTCAAGAGTTATTTGATAACGTGGATGCTTTGCTGTTTGTGGTTCGGGTCTTTGGTCTTTCGGTATCCTGCCAAAGGCACGGCCCTCGTTGTATGCAGCGTTGCGTGCCTTTCAACATGGGTGTTCGGCGAGGCGGGTGCGCCAAAGCCTCACCAGGGAAGGTGAATTTCCAGACACATTCCCGGATGTTCCAGGCATCATGTTTAATCAACACATCTCGGTGGGCGAATGTGGGCGAGACAGATCTAGCCTTCGCTGACGTGTTCCACTGGTAGCTAAGGGTCACATCTTGGCCAGTCAGCCAGGTCAAGTTGCCTTCGCTGGGACCCTTGTAGCAGTCGCCGGCTTGGTACTTGCTGCACGCCTGTTGCAGTGGTGAATATCTAGACACGTGCGAAGAAACAGTCATTTGCGGTCACTAAAGATCGTTTTTTTTTTTTAATAGGTTGCTGTTGAGGTGAAGTGTCATTCATGTCAACATGGACACTTGGGGGGCATTTGCGTACTACTTAACTAGTCACTCGTCATGTACATTGAATGCATTGCAACATGTTTGAGCATCTTTGAACACTTAGCCGGCATCGTCCAACAATTCTGAATCGGCTAAATAATTCTCTTCAGGCTACCCTAAAAACTGAAGGAACCTTTGAAACCCTTTTTACTCAAGTTGGCCAGATGTTTATGCGCACCAGATCACACCTGGGTGATGTCTCGAAGGTTTCTGTGGCGGATAGGTTCCAAGTGCATTGAAGCTTCTAGGAACAAGAAGCTTCCTTGGGAATCGTTTCACATTTTCATGTGTAGTAACAAGAAACCACCAGGAGCGCATGGGGCTCTGAGGCGAATTTCGCTCCATTTCGCTTTTCAAGCACCTTCGCCTTCCCTGCTGCATCCCCAGAGGCAAATGCGGCTGATGCGTGTCAAAACCGGAAAGATTGGTTGGAAAGCGCATGGGCAAGAAAACCAGGTGTAATTGCTGCAGTTTGTGGTGTGTTGATCTGAAGTTGTGGTCGTTTGCACTCGATTTCGCACGCTCCAACTGTAGAGAAGACCAAGCCAAGCTGGACATGGCTGAGGCTCTTGAAGCGCCCGAGATCACATGGACTGAGAAGAGATCTCAGTGTCAGCCGGTTCAGACAGCTTCCAGTATCTTCCCATGAAATTCATGTTTTTCATCGTTTTTTTTGACGACTTGGAGGATTCACAAATTGATCTAAACTCGAAAACGCCTGCAGAAGATGGCAAAAGCAACCAGGACTTGAGGCTTTGCGGCTTTGCTCTACTGCCCCGCCCCTGCCCAGGCCGTGTGCTCACTATGGCCATCGCTTTCATTCCAAGAAGCTGCCTGAGGGCCTGAGGCGGAGGGCCTGACAGCCTTCGCCTGATGGCTTCCGAAACTTGATGTTCGAACTGAGCTTCGGACGTGATTTCTCCAGGTGGGTGACGTTTTTTGCGACCATGCGGCAAATGTAGCCGTCCCTGCCCCCGGAGGAGAAATAGAAAGAAAACAAACTAGTGTCTCCAATGAAGCCAATGAGTTTCCCCTTCATTAGGTGTTGATTAGGTGTTGGTGCACACGGTACGCATGTGGACGCACTTGGGGTGTGACATGGATGGAAACCAGGTGTTCTAGAATTCCTACTTTCGGAGTTGCCAGGATCGACGAATTGTCTCGAAAACCGATGCGACCCCTCCGGTCGCCGAAGCGGCCGTGCCCAGAGCTTCGGCATGAAACACTTGGCATATGTTCGTCACACACGGCGAGGCATTTGACATCTCCCGTACTGGACTAGCCTGTACTAGCTGCCATCATGATTTCCACAGTGAGCTGTCCGGCTCAGTCCGGCTCACACACGGTGAATCTTTGTGACAGGTATTGCCGCGAGTTCATCACATCCGCAGAAGAAGATGGCCTAGACCAGTTGCTGTCCGATGGCCCATGGCCGCTTGGAGCAAAAATCTGGTTGGCTTGTTCCTAGTAGCTTCTTGTTAGGGCCTGAATCCATTCTTAGCTTACCTGGATGAACAGTTTTAGGTGAGACACGCAATGAGATCCAGCTCCTTCATCGCTTCAGCTCGTTTTTGGCCATGAAAGGCATCAGGACTCATGATGCACCGCTGCTTTCAGGCTTAGACACATCAAGAGCAGAGCCCAGCAATTCTTCGGCCTGGTGTACTATGAGAGACTTGCCGGCAACAAGCACCATGGAAGTGTTCAGTGTTTTGACCCCTGGCACATGTCATATCATCTCCATCCTTCAGCCAACGAAGTCAGGACCACACACGAGCTACCGGCACTTCAGCCGAGCCATCCACACGCTGAGAATGAGGCAAGGCGCGCACAGCTGTGTGAAAGAAGTATTTTTTTTTGCAATTTTTCAGCCCGTGGGCGAGAAGTGTCATTATAGGGACCGCAGATTTGTCGTTTTCCTTTCTTGTGCCATAGACGTTCTTTGTAAGTGGTTTTTGTGCCTTTGGATTGGCGCTTGACCTACCCTTTGCCTGACTGGTTTCCCACAAAGGGCCCCACACACTTGTTACAACATGGATGCCCGAGCCAAGCAGCATAAAGCACCCAAAGCCGGCTCACTACCCCCTCGTCCAAACATAAGACACCAAGCATAAGAGCCAGGGGCTCATGGAGAAATGTGTTTATTTTCCCCCTTGGACGTTTGGCCTGCACGAACAAAATCGGTTCAGCAATTCAACTAGATTCAACCGCAATGTTTCGTTTGTGAAGTTATATCATCAGCCTTGATGTGCGTAACATGTGTAGACCAAGCCTTTGATCCACCTCACAGGTTTGAACATGTTTGCAAGATTGTCAGTAATTGTATATATACAGTTGTCATCGGTTCAAAAATTGCGAACGAGCCAAGCCCTCAATGGAGGCGGTTGCTGAAAAAAAGCTAGACAGCGGCATATTGAAACGCTGCAAGCGGAACACAGCCGCGTCACGTAAACTATAACTCAAGGAGGAAGCCATTCGCTGCAGGCAGGTGTCAGCATCGAATTATATTTGACAGATCCACGAGAAAGGCTTTTCTTTGCATCAAGAACTGAAGGCGTACGCACACAGACGCTAGTATGGCCACTACAATTCTTGACGCCACTCCCAGACTAGCTACTTGCGCACACAGACGCTACTTGTCACGCACACACACAGTTTTTTGCACTCAGTGGATGGAGCACGCTTTCGTATGCCACCTAGATCGTGTCACCTTGGATGTCAGGGAACCGTATGTACATGCATGCACATGCAAGATGCATGCAAGATGCATGCACCGTTTTTTCCGACACGACGGGCTGGGAGCTTTTGTTTCCTTAAATGCAGTCTATTGATGTCTATTGCATCTTGTAGCCAAGCAGTTGGTTGCATGTACTAGCAGGCCAGGCCACTTCAAGATGTCCCAGATTGGTTGATGTGACCAGGCTGCAGCGCGATCTTTTTGAATGTATTTGACTCCACCGGTGGAGCAGAGCCAAGGTGGATCAACTCACAGGGTCAGTAGGAGTCCATTGAACACTCCAAGGCTGAAACGATTTTCCATCTGTCATGCAGTGGGACAAACGCCCATCCACCCGGCGACCGTGGCCATGCCCCATGGCCCCATTATGACGTGTGAAGGCTTCCATGCACGATTCTTTTGAAGGAGCAGTTAACTCAATTGCTCACCCGGTAGTGTGTTCACTTTCACGCAGGTTGAAAAGGCCTAAACCGATGGGCACTACTGTTAATCAATGATAATCCCAGACAACTTCCCAAACGATAAGCGAACGATAACCTAAATGTCACGCCAGGCACTCCGTAAACCTACTTCTCCGCATTTCTAGTGTTTGTTCATGGGCCAAGCTACTAGGTCCCCGCATGTCCCCGCTTATGTTTTGTGATCCTTGCACAGCCCAGTGCCACAAGAACCCAAGTGCATAAATCAAGTGCTGTGCCATCCCTGTGCAGAAAGCACTGTAAGCATTTGTAAGCCTCTAATCTGAGGTTGTGAGTAATTTGTTGATATATTTTGTGTTTTAGTCTATGCGTCGGTATGCGCCAACTACGACTGTTGGAGTCCAACATTCGAGAACGAGTAATGGACGAGCTGTCGTGGACTTCCCGCTTCTTAGGCAGCGAGTCTTCGCCACGGGGGTGTTTCCGAGAAACGAAGTGAATCAGGCCGAGACAGCATGGTTCGACCGCAGCTGGATGCTTTAGTTTGATCTATCAATCTGTTAGTGTTTATGTATAATATATATATATAGCGATATATAGCGGATTCGACAGCCTATCAGCTGCTAACCCATGGATCCGCTAGCCATGTGAAGCCGATCGGCTCGGGCCGACCGGTGATGTCCAGGTGGCGGCCAACGAGTACTTGGATCGTGCTGGAATCTCCTCCCATGCGCACAGCTGAGGGGCCTGAGGGGCCGAGGGTGGGGTCGTCCTTGTGGCAATCCTGAGCTTGGGATGACTGAGCTGAGACTGCGCTGAGCTGAGCTGAGACTGAGGTAGAAGAGCCGACGTCCTTTGGTCCGAACTTGGCCACACTCTCCATGCTCTCTCCAGTGGAGATGACGCTCACCCCCGCAGAGGAGGACTGGTCAACGACCAAATGACGACAGGTAAACTAGTGAACGGTCAGCGACGTGTGCTGGTATGTGCACAGGACCAATTGCAAAGTCGAGCTCGCTCCGAGAAAAAACCACTTTCCGCAAATTGCCCCTCCAGAGACGTTTGTTGTGGTTACTTGGATGTATATAATAGGGACCTGTAATTTAAATGCACCCAACTTGACAATCATTGACCATAACCTCGTGTTTTTTGACACCCTTGGAAGCTTGAGCATTGGCTCGGCATAGGATCTGCACGGCAGGGATGGCCTGGATCACGGCAACTGGGTGAAGATTCTGCTGGAGCCCAGGAGTTTGCTGCTCCTCCAAGGCCTTGTGCTGGGGTGGGGCTGTTGCTTGCGATTCAGGATGGGTCAAAATGACGGATCTTGAGAGAAAAGCGTCAAACAAATTGGTGGAGTTTGGGCCAACTTAGGCCAAAAGTCCTGGGATTGGGCTTGGAATTTGCCTTTGAGCACTACCTCTTTGGTCCTTTTGTTTTGCAGGGGTCAGGACACTTCTTGTTGAAGTCGGGTGCCAAGATGCGCGGGCACCACCTGTCCTTTCGCTTGAAAACAGATCCCATGAGACGTCTCATTTGGATTTCCGGAACCTCCTCGTTCACGTCTGCTAGAGCTCCCTGTTAAACAGTTTTGCAAGCTTGACTGCTTCTTCCAAACGTGCTTCACTTCGTGCGGCCATTGTTACGGTGCCTCCAGAACCTAAACCAGCCTAAAACCTCAGAACATACTGTACCCACATTTATCCACGAAATGCGGAACTTGCACATCATCGGACTATATCTGACTCATCGAACATGCCAAACAGCCAGGTGAGAGCCGCTATGGCTTTCGACACGGCATCCGAAGGTCCAAGCTGGTGAGAAGCTGAGCTGGGCGCCTCCGGATCACCATGAGAATCGATCCAACAAGGTGTTCCAACATTCAAACCATCAGGATCAGACATGTCATGACATGTCCAAGCCTAATCCAAGTCTAGTCCACTTCTCCTTCCAAGTTGGACTCGAATTCCGACTCAGCTGGGTCACACCCCTTGTCCTTCAAGGTCACTGGGACAGCATCGCTTGGGACAGCACGTCGATTAGGCTCAACATGGCTCAACACTAGACCTCCACCTAGTAGTTAGCTTCTTGCTCCTAGTAGTAAGGCCAGCAGCTACGAGTAGCGTCCGATCGCTCCGTTCGAGTCGCGATGCCGGTAGCGATGCCCCTTGTTACGTTCGAGTCGCGATGGCCGAAGTGTTCCGTGCATAGCTTGTTCTTGCACCCGCTTCGAGGTTCGCTTAGCCGATGGACAGCAGCTGCGGAGAGGTCCAGGTGTCGCCACGGGCGCCGGACACGGGACCAGTCCACGCGGAGACGTGCGAAACCTTTCGGTGGCAAAGCATTGGTTGGTGCACGAAGCATTGATTGCACTCTTCTTCAGCTTGTGCTTGTTAAGTCTTGTGCTTCATGAATTCTTACCAATGTCATGCCAGGATGTACTGGTATTAATTGGTACTGGTATTCCTTCCAGTCATGCAGGTTCTTGATTTCTTGAATCTGGGTTGGCAAAATAGGTGCCCATTGTTTGAGCCACGGCCATTTGAAGTTCCAGCTGTTCTTGTATGTTCTTGTCGTTGAGGCTATCGCAGGGTGTCCTTGACCTTCCGAGAGCTCTTGCCAAGCCGTCGGCAGCTGGCAGATGTTGCCTTCCGCGAGAGTGCGTGGGTGGTGAGAAAGCGTGAGAAGCGGGGCAGGACTGAGCAGGGCTGGGCAGCTGAACCAATTCAATCATAGTGGCACATGCAGGCTGAAGATGTGCAGTTGCAGTTTCCATGATGATGCTGAGGATCTTGATGAGAAGCTCTTGATTATGCGGTGCTCAAGGTAAGTCTACCGGTCCAGAGCCACGGAGGAAGAGTCATGATGTCATGGGGGGCCAGAGTTTGTCCAAAAGAAATTACAAAGGGGAAGGTTCCACCCACGCATCATGCAGCATCGTGCAGAAGTGTGCTCAAAGAATGCAAGACGTATATCCTTCGCCAATGAAAGCTACCCTTGGACACTACTGAAGCGACCAACGCGTCCGCAACGACTTGGCCTTCCGCACCTCCATGTCGCAAGACGCGACCGTGCGGTCGAATCTCCAGAGGCAGCGATTCGCCGCTCCGCCTCGTTGACCCGTCCGAGGGAGGAAGAAAACATCGGAACATCCGCCCCACTCTCGGTGGTCGGGTGTTTTTGTGTTTGTCGTGTTTAACGGTGCGATGAGTCGACATTTTTCCGGATGGATGGCTGAACTGGTTGCTGGACATCGTGACTGATGAGGGGGGTGAATGATCTTGGATTTGACTCTGCATTTGGTGCTGTGGGTCATTCCGTGTTACCAGCCAGAAGAGGTTGAAGACCAAAAGGGAGAGCCTCTCACAGTGCAACTGCCTGTGGCGAGGCCAATCCCGTCCTCGAAGCCTGGAAAAGAGGAGACAGCACTGAAAAGACAAAGCAGACTGTCGTGTTCAAGCGAAATTGGAGTGTATTGGAGGAGGTGATTCTGATGTGAACCATCATGCCAGTCATGTGGACTATCATGTGGAATCAGATGGCAGACAACAGTTCCATACTTGACGAATCTTGACGACTGATGACCACAAAGGTGTGAAACTGTCATCGGATACCGTCCATGTGATCTTGATTCAGGACACAGTTCAGAATCAACACGTCATTCATCACGAGAATTTGTCACTTGTCCACGTCTATGTTCATTTGTCATGCTGATTCCGTTTGTTTTTCCAATGTTTTCCTGATTGGAGGCGACCTCTGTGCTTTTTGGACCGACCTCATTGATTTCATTGCCACCTCCCAGGCGTGCACGGTTTCGCCTCGACGCGTCCAGGCGGCCGTGTGACATATCGACGCACTGAAATCGGCACCGAGCCGCTGCGCAACTCACGGTGCCCTGTCCTTCTGGGCGCGCCGGGCGCATTGCCGGGTTTCGGCCACCGAGATCGGGAGGTCGGAGCTTCGGGGAGGCCGACGTGAAGGCAGGGCCCAGGCTTTTTCGTCCCACCAAGCTACCGATTGGTCGGGCGATGGGTCGGGCTGGTCCGAGGTGAAGGTGACGCACGGGCTCATTGGCTGCCAAGGCCCAGAGAGGCGTCTTGGGAGAGAGGCAGATGACACAAGATGATGTACTTAAAATGTAAAGTTGATTAGTAGCCTCCCCCAAAGATGAGATGAAGAACCATTTTGGTAGGGGGCTTTGTTAATCAGTTTGCATTATAGGCCCTGGTGCCCTTACAGAAGTGACAGCCGTGCAGGTTCCGGCCTTCTTCATACCCAAGACCTCAGAGGCAGCGGTGTTGGGAACTTGCCACCGTTCCATTGGCAGCACACCACGTCCAGTTGCTGATTGGGGATCAAGGTGTCATAGGGTACGTCGAGTGCGTAGTAGATGAGACTGGATTTGACATGTTGAAGCATTTTGAATTAGAGACAGTCTATCAACTTCTTTGATTTGTGCCATTTGTGCCTGTTAAAGGTGGACAGTGGCAGGCGGCACAGCCCTGGCTTCTTGTGAAACAAGAGGCTGTAGTACCATTTTCGAGCAATGGCCTGACTCCGTTTCACAGTCATGAGAATCTTCAGGAAGTCCTGCGCACACTGCGCCAGGACAAGGTTCAAATCGCTGCGGAAGCAGCTGCAATCTCTTTGTTAGCCATGGCGACTGACCCCAGCAAGAGCCAAGTGTTTGTCGAAGTTATCTGAGACAGATCCCAAACCCAAGCGAACCAAGTGGAACGATTGTAGCTGCATGTAAAAATACTCATGTGCAGGCCATAATGTTTAATGTCCACTGAGCCGACATCCTGAGGTGCCAAAAGTATCTACTGGCCGACTATCAAGGCGGGATGTCCGTTTGACACATCTTCGGATGGTGGTTTTGCTTGTTCTTGCCGTCTCTGATCGGCAAGTGTGGGAGTGGGACCCGTCGTTTTCAAGTCGTTTTCGCCTTGGAGGCCTTCAGAAAAGATGACCTTACACCGCTTTGCTGCAGCTATGCCGGCGGAGCGGCCAGAGTTAGCCGCCTTGCTGAGGTGTGGGTCGTGGGTGGTTGTGAGGAGTGGAATTCAGGGTGGACATGGGTGGATTACTTGGCACCTGAACTATTTGTTTCGGTCGCCGGTTTTGTCTGAATGGGGTCTTAATGGAAGGTGGTGCTTTCAAACAGCTGGGGCTCAAAGTGGCAGCCGGAGCATTGGATTGCAGAACAGCAAGAGAAAGAGTGAGCACATTGCATCAAAAGGCAGCTTTTCTGGAAGCTGCATGTTCTGTAGGGTAGCAGCTTCGGAAGAAACAACAGCATCCGAACCGATCCAAACTCAGTCCCAAATGGCCAAATGGTCATCGTATGTCATCGTAGTTCATGAGAGGCAGCGCTGTTTGCAAAGGAGGAGGCGTGGCAAAGCCTCGTGAACATGGATGTTGAATGAAGCTGCCCAAAGAGTCCGACAGGAGTGAAAAAGCGGCACCCCAGGGCCCCAAAACCCTCCCCCCTCAAGCCCTGTGTTGGTGGAAAGCCACTGAAATTCCAATGATCCGAACTTGATCCAAATGTATCCAACCGTCACCGAATGAGTCATTCTTCTGACCTACCTCTTCTACGACTAATTGGAGCTCAGTCATGACTACAGGTCTGTGATGTGGCCTGTCGAGGGAGAAACTCAGAGACATTCCGACCGAGAACCCTTGGATCTCCGAAACCTTCCGAATGTCTTCCAGTGGCAAGGCGACCGCCTAGCTGTGCTGAGTCCTTCTCTGGCCTGGCCGAAAAAGCAGAGAGAGAGAGAGAGAGAGAGGGAAAGAGAGAGGTGCGCATATCATTTCTTTGACCAAAAAGAATGCAGTCGAGTGATTGTGCTGGATTGTGCAGTTTTGTAAGCAGTTGCCGCTTTGTTGCCCTCTGTTGGTCAGCTCCAAAATATCCAAAGCTGTTTGAAACACAAACTGCAAAAGCAGTTGCATGGTTTTGGTATGTCTTAGTGCTCCAAATCGCAGCCAAACACCTATTCAGACGCTTGAGCATGGAGCCGGCAACCCTGAAGGCGTCCAATGATCCAATGGAATTGAACAGCAAACGAGTCATAGCCAAGTAGTTTAGCCAATCCTAGTCTAAGTGAGTCTAAGTGTTTAACATAGCTTTTCAACTACGCGTTTGTTGTCCCTGCCCACGGGCATGGCTACAGCTGCTACATGCTGCACGGACAACATCAAGAACGTCCATGAAGAGGCCAGTCACGATGTCAACGTCGATGTCCCCACGCTTCTGATGTCACGATGTCCACACCGCCCGCCAGGCAGGACAACGCGTTGAGTGCAAATGGCTGAGGCTGGCCGTGGGTGTTGGCGCCTGTGTGACTGGGTCTTTTCTTGATGTTCACGGTTCACGGTGCTTTAATTTATGGGAAAGCATGGAAAAGCCATTTTCTTAAGCCTCAATGGCTGCGAAAGAACCAGAATTGTGGAGCATTGGGAAGCTGCAAGAAGGTTAGTTTAGCCCTCCTGAGGGAAGGGGCTTTGACGGACGGACTGACTGATTGACTGACTGACCGCGGGCTTGAAGCAGGTGAGACCACAGAATTCGACAAGGGCCAAACTTCACAGACAAACATCATCAGGATCTGGAAAGAGCACCAAAGAGCAAATGGTTGTCATCATGTGCCATCCCCAACCCTTCGACTCACTGAGGGTTTTGGTCGGAAACTCGTGTTTGGAGAACCCTCAGTGTCGGGACTGGAGAACTTTTCCGCGCCTGGCGCGCCCGGAGCAGGGTGGATATATCGAGTCCGAACCCTTTGAAGCTTTGCAACTCAAGGAGGCTGGAAACAGATGGAGCCGCTGGGTGTGGCAGGTTGGTCGGTTGAGCTTTGGGTTGGTCGTCTAGGAGTCTAGGCCGATTCGGGGTGATTCAGGTGGTGGTGCCAAAATCAGGATGTAAGAAGGGGAGATGCAGAAAAACCCTCCCAAAACACTGGCTTTGATGATTGGGAAGAAGGAATTGAATGTGGGGATTGAGAGACGAAGTTACGGGAGAGGTGCAGGTCCCGGAGAGGTAAATCCCACAAGACCTCCCACTGCAGGTCTTTGAAGGTGTGACGTTAAGGACTGAGAGAGTGATATTGAATGATTTTGAGAGGCAAAGACACAGATGATGGTTCACCAGGGGATCTCTCCGCCATGTATTTTAAAACATTCGATCCATCAGCTTTTCAACCCTGAAATTGTCTGGTTCCTGGCTGCTCACGAGCCCTGAGAGCCCTCCCCGCAGGAGGGCAACCACTTCCTGAAAGCTGGGGAGTTTGAGCCGGCACTGGATTGCTACCAGAGAGCTTTGACCTCTCTTTCGCAAGGCGGACGAGGCCTGACAGTCTTTCACCTGTTTTTGCGATCTCGGGTGCCCACCTGTTGAAACACACATTTTGTGCTCCCCGAACAGTTAATACTGATATGATAGATATGGATACTTTCTTGAACAGTCTATAGTCTATGGTTGAAAATTCGGTAGGGGCTGGAGCCAATGGTGCATGTGGCACGTCTACGCAAGTCTTACAGCCGTCCATGCTGCTCATATGTCGCAATTCATTCTCCAGAACTTGGTGCCCTATAGCGTAGTTTAGTATCTAAGTTTGTGGCTGCTGGGCCGGGCCCACAGCCTTCCAGAAATCACATCCTCAGGACATTTTTTGAGTGATCTTGGTAGCACCTCAGGTAGTGCCAGGGAGGTGGCAACTGTGTCCGGGGGCCACAGGCGAAACGCCGGAATTTGCTGAGACGTCTAGAGAACTTCGAAGAGAGGCCAGTTCTACAACAAAGTGACATGCCCAAACGCTCCAAGCAGCTTCTTAAGACTCTTGGTCCCTCACAAACTCCAAACCCAACCCCAGACCTGCCTTAAAATTGGTTCTCCCGAACTTTTTAGGCCCAAGGATGCCGAAGCGACTTTTAAGGCTTGGGAATGTGAGCTGTGCCCAGCTCTCGCTGGGTCAGCCACAACTGGCACTAGAGGCAGGGATGGGTCGATCATGGTCGATCATGGTGGTATTCAGATGGCAGTGGTACTGGAAAAGGGCAGTTGACAAGTTGTATGTCATGTCGGGCCACTTTGGCCTACTGTAAGTCATTTGACCCCGGTCATCTGATGTCCTTCGCTTCTGACCGCTCCTCAGTCATTCCTGGCCACCAGGCTGCGCGAGACGCGTGGAGAAAGGACCCCAGTTACTCGAAGGCTCTCTTCCGTGAGGCGAAGGCACCCTTGGCGATGTCGCGCATGAGCTCGTGACATGACTCGGTGGCGATGTGGAATATGGCATACGGATGTGTGTGTGTTTTAATAAATAGGGGGACCCCCAAACAATGAGTTTTGATCTATTTCCCTTCTTCCAGGGGGTCGAACTGGGAGGTCTCCCTATTTTAATCCACACCCATATGGATGAATATGGTTGTCCATCCCTTAGCCAGGTCACTTATGTGAGGTCGATGTTGCAAGAAGCATGGCGAACGATTTAGTTGGACAGAGGAGTGAACATGGGATACCATAGAAAGGCGCTGGACAGTATAATGATACAATATGAATAGTATGAATCTCTTGAAATCTGGATGGGCATCTAGATGAACCTCCTATGGATAGGATATGATAGGATGGGGATCAGACATTTCCATTGCGACCGCACAGGGGGCCACGCTAAATCTCCGGTCAACTGGGTCAACCGGGTTAGCTGGGTCAACTGGGTCCGGAGATTTAGCGTGGCCACCGGGTCAACTGGGCCCACCGCGACCACCACCACCACCACCACGACGACGACGACGACGACTACTTGACTACTACCACCACCACTGGGTCAACTGGGGTCAACTGGGTCCGGAGATATAGCGCGGCCCGGGTCAACTGGGTCAACTAACCCTCAGCTCAACGACGGTCCAGGTGCAAACCAGGTGGACTTGTGGAGCAGGGATCAGGTGCTTCGTGTTCGATCGTCACAGTCTATCCACTAAACCGCCGACAACTAAGTCAACTCATCCATAGAATTCTGGAACATGATCTAAACCAACCTCAACATCAGACATTCCGTGTAGAGCTTGATTCGGAACCTTACTTGTTCAAGTTCAACATCGGTCTCCATCACAACCTCGGTTGATCCAGCTTGACCCACTTCAGAAGCCAACAGTTGGGGACCGCTTCTTCCTGCGGGTCAAGAGATAGCTCTAGATCTATCGACGACCTGTGAGCAAGCGATGGTGATGTAAAACTACTAAAAGAAAACTAGAAACCAAGATCAACACAAGACATCTTGTGTTGAGCTTGGTTGGGACTCCCTCTTCCATCGAGTCGACCATGGCCGCATAAACAACATTGACATTTAAAAATACATATTCTAACCGTTGGAAACCAAGCTCAACGCCAGGTGTCCCGTGTTGAGGTTGGTTGAAGACTTTTCCTGAGCCAGTTGAGACACTGCCTCCATCAGAACCTCAGTAGAACGCATAAACAACAATAATGAGTTGTGAAAACACAATCTAACACATAGAAACCACACTCCACACCACGCATCCCATGTTGAGGTTGATTGGTGATCTTTCCTGATCCAGTTCAGGCAACGCCTCTATCACTACCTAGTAGTAGCAGTGGGCCCAGTTCACCCCAGTTGACCCCAATGGACCCACTTGACCCAGTTGACACGTAGTAGTAGCAGTCGTGGTCGAATTGACCAGGCGCCCACGCTAAATCGTCGGACCCAGTGGACCCAGTTGACCCCAATTGACCCAGTTGACACGTAGTAGTAGCAGTGGTACTGGTCGCAGTGGTTGACTTGACCAGGCGGCCACACCAAATCTCCGGACCCAGTTGACCCAGTTGAGGTCAATTGGGTCAACTGGGTCAACCGGGTCAACTGGGTCAACTGGGACACCCTGTTCAACTGGGTCAACTGGGACCACAGATTTAGTGGCCCCCTGTGCCGACGCACTCGAGATCTAGATGAATTTCCTATAGATTGGATATGGATTGGACATCGCAGATGGGATTGGATCGGACATTCTGGATTCTGGATTAATCTGGATGAGACTCTGGATGAGTTATATACTGTAGATTGGGTGTGTCCTAGTACCTGTCGCAGTCGGTAAACAATTATCACTATTCTTGACAAGGCCTGCAACTGAACCATCATCCACCATTACTGGTAATTGGATAGACCAAATATATAGATGAGTTGGAGAATGTGCTGGGGACAACATGGCTGATGGGTCGGGGGTCAGTTTGCACGGTATGGCTGATGGGTACAGAAGACATCCACTCCCATTGTGCCAGGCCTTGCTCGCCCTGGGGCAGTTCACCGACGCTGTCCGTGCGGCCCGGGGTTCCCGGGCAGGGAAAGACGTGAAGAAATCTTACCAATTGCAGTCGTTTTCGAGGTGGTCCGGAGTGAATTGCGGTGAATTCTATGAACCCCATTCCCCAACCTTGTGCCATTTTCAGATGGCATGCTGCTGAATTGATCGACCAGTAGCGCTGCAACACACTTCTGATAGCGAGTGTTTAGGAGAAGGTGCTGTTGAACTCGGCCGTGAAACAGGAAAGGGTCCCCCTCGAAGGTGGTGGGTTTGTGCCACGACCATCACTCATCATCCCTTGGGAGTTCTTAACAATGCCGCAAGCAAGGCTGGCATGGATGGAGGCTCTCGACCACCAGATGCTAAGCGGCCAAGCGATAACTATGACGGGCAATGATTGATCCCACACGCACCGAAAATGTACTTGTTTACCTACTATCTCACACATCCTCACACCTGCCAAGCCAAAGGAAACCTTCACGTATATTTCGGGAATGCCCGGACCCTCCTTGCCTGCTGCGTGTGCTATACCATGTTGTTGGTATGTTATTCCACAGGGTCTCCGATGCCCACGGGGCACACCAAGGCCCTGCATTTGCTCTTCCTTTGCGGCAGCTCCGCCGGAGAAACCCGGTGAACAGGATTGGGGGCAACTCAAAGAGTTGGAAGGGACATCAGGAGAGTGATTCGACGAGCTAAGAACATGTTGGAGAAGTCCTGAAGGCTTTGTGGTGTTCTGATGTCAAGATGGTCGAAGATGAATTCCAATTACCCAATGAGCTCCACAAGAGCCCCTGCTCCAAGCTTTCCTATCAGCCGCCAGCTGAGATTCATGAACAAGTTCTTCTGCACCACAGAAACCCTATAAAGCAGGAAAAAAGAATAGCAGATCGAGTCTTGCAAACAGCGAATATTGGGTCACGCCACTGGGTTCAGGAATTTATTGCTCCTCTTCCTTCTGCATTCCACCCAACGGTTACGACCTCGCTCAGCTATTTGCTTTGCTCCAGACAGGGCCACGGGAGGCCTGCGCCCGACAAGGCCTGCACGTTCTGGCTGCGCCATGGCGTCGTTGATGGTGCAAATGGAGGCCTATGCCTTCAGGGAGCTGGTGGCCCATCTGCAGTGGCGGAAGGCACCTGGGACCAACGGTGGAAGCATTTGGGAGCACAGCTTCTTTTGGCGGTGCGGTGTTGGCGGATGCGAGTACCATGGGAGGACGCATACTGTGAGTGGTTCGGACATGTTCGGACACGTGGAAGTGAGATGGCGTTAGATGAGTTCAATTGGAGCGAGCACCCACCCAATTGACCAAAACAATGGGGAACCGACATTCAGGCACTCATATCGATGGCATATTGTTCAGGGGCACAGGATGGAGAAAGGAGAAAATTGATTTGCTGCGAATCATATCCCTCGTGACGACTAGCTATCATCCTCCTCCTCGTCGTCGTCGTCCTCCTCCTCCTCCTCAATTTCGTTATCGTCGTCGTCGTCGTCGTCGTCGTCGTCGTCTTCGTCGTCGTCGTCGTCGTCATCATCATCATCATTTACATCAGCTACTGCTTTGCTATGGATACTGATAAATATTCAGAGGCTGGATCAGATCAGCATGCGACGGGAAGAAAAACACGACTGCTTTTGAGAAATGGAGGGGTTTTTGAATGCAACGCGCAGCAGCTTTCAGCTCGTCCCGACCGCAATACAGGACGTCCAGAACATTGACCTGATGAACCTTGCTGGCTTTTGCAGGAACTGCCTCTCGAAGTGGTACCATGCAGCATCCAAGGCTGGGATTTGCATCCAATCGAGATTGAAATCAGGATCCACTTATAGACTTACCCGCTTTTTCTTTGGACGGGCACACGCTTTGTGTTCCAATCTTTTCGGACATTTCAAGGCTATCATTCATTGCCTGGCATCCGATTTCGCGGACAGTTCAGGAGCTCATGATTTGGTCCGACGAGTCCATGAAGACACTTGTGTGGGTCATTGGAGGATTCAATGACAGATTTCTACACACAGATCATTCTTATGTATTGTATTGCCGTCTTTCAGTTCCAATGATTTCTAAAAAGATCTATAGCGCAGGCCTGTCACGTCATGAAAACAACCTTCAGGGCGAACCTCCAGGTCCATGGTGTGCCGATGGAGTACGAGGAGGCCTGCGAGCGGATCTATGGGGAGCCTTATGGCGAGTGGAAGAAGAAACATCAAAAGACGCTCGAAGCGGTTCTGATGGTGATGTCTATGGGGTCCCGAGATAGATTTACTGTACAAAAAAAGAGTAGATTTCATGCATTATCACGCTAAAGAATGCATTTCTGTTTGTATATTTCATATACTTATGGTTCTTACGTGTTTTTTCCTGTCCATGGTTTGGCGATGTATGAATAAGGGTCCCCAAAATAATTCTGACAAGCTTTTTCAATACACTATAGTCACTAAACATGTATTGGACATCGTTTTTTCAACCTATTTGGGGACCACTGTAAGTTCAATCGTCAACTTTGTCTCAGACACAACAACTTCAGTCAAGTCCATGCATTGTGACCTTGCATGAGGGCCTAAAACAAATGGATGCCAACAGACAGACGCCCGAATGTAGCAGAATAGCCAGTGACTAGTATCGCCCCATGTCGGGGTCAACCCCATCCAAGGAAGGCCGGTGAGGAGCAGCTTGCGGCTCCTCGATTTTTGGCGGCCCGGGGCATGCCAGGGCTGTGGTGAATTGGTTTGAACCCAAAAGAAATCCCATCTCCAACGGCTTTGTCTGACGGAGGGCAACAAATCTCAAGAGACTTGACACCACCAAACCAGGAATTGCGGATGAACACCCACGAACATTGTGTTCTAAATGATGCATACGTGGTGGGATAAAGGTTCTTTTTGAAGCCTTGGAGCATCTTGAGCATTTGTTGAAGCTCTATGCATCTCCATGCAGCAACCCTGAATGTTTTGTTTTCCATCGGGCATGGTACTGTTTGAGCACAAACACGGACATTAGTATATGTATGATTATGTTTAGATTTCATGCTACAAAGGCCAGCAGAGGGCTTCGAGATTCCAGTGGCCTTCTTCCAGACCCTCAGCAGCTAACAATCCAAGAATTGGACGGCCATGAGCACTGTTGTTCGTAGCGCTGGTTGATTCAATTCATCATTCCAGATTGCCCTTGCCGGCTAAGCCGTAGCAATCTTTGGACGAAGTCTTTCGGTTTCCACGACACCTGTGTGATGCCCTTGTTCCTAGCAAGAATGCTCCTAGCCGTATGGCCAGGAGCCCCGTTCGGTTCGTGCCCTTTGCTGCTAGCTCCTTGAAAAGTCTTGGACCTCGAGGCCTTTGAGTCGGGCAAGGATCTCCACGCAAGGACGGAGCCCAAAGGCCTCCTTTCAGGCGGCAACCACGAGCCGGGTGGTCAGCCGGGCCACTCGAAGCTTGGCAGGTCCTTGAGGCTGTTTATTTTTTGGGGGGGTTGGCGTTTGAGACCTGAGGGGGCCCCGATGCAATTTTTGGTAACATGGTCAAAGCTTCGGAACCTGGTTCGCTTGTCACATTCTGACATAGGATGAGAGTATGGTTCCTGGTAATGGTAGGAGTTGAGTTTTGTGTGATGTTGTTCTCACCATGTCTCACCCATCAACCCCTATCAACCCATTCCACTCACTTTCAATCGACCTCGCCCGTTGTAAATTGTGCTGCGTTCGTTGTCACGCACCCGGAACGAAGCACCTGGATTTTTAGGGGACAAGGCTCCCCAGGCAAACGAGCACGTGATACATGTCAGACTTGATCATTTGGTGTGGTGTTTGGGTTTCCTGTGGGCGGTCCTGGCATGCGGCGTTGTTCAACAGAGAAAGCGCCTACCTGGAGAGGCCAACCATTCTTTCGGTGGGAGAAGTGTCATAGCACGGGTCATTGGCAGGCAGCGGACCTGGTATTCGACGATTGTTCTTGCACCACCTCCAATCGAAAATCAGTTTGACTTTCAATGGTTTCACCCCGGTGAAACCATGACTTCAACTTCTATAGAATCATTAATTACCAAAAAGGGAGAACATATGTCATATTGTTTCATTTACTGTACTTGAGCATTCATGAGCTGGTGTTTTGATCTGCAGGTCCTCGCAAACCTTGGTCTAGCGTGTTTAGCGCTGTTGACTAAAAGTCATGGATTGGAAAAACCTGCTTGCAATTAAAAGTAATATGGATGGGTCATTCTGTAACTAGATTGACCAGGTAGACCAAGGACAATGTTTAATCATGTTTTTCTGGGGATACGGGGAGCTTGGTAGTGCACTACATAGTATATCAGAGTAAATGTATCAATCTTCCAAGGATGTTGAGAATCATTGCCCTTGACCCACGTTCTTGAATCCACATCCCAGCGCATTTCCCAAAGGAATGTTTGCGGCCAAAGCTGTGATGCACCACCCCCCACGGTCTCCGCACACGTGGCTGGAGCTTCCACTGCCGCACGCGTGGCCGTGCTAACGGCATCCGACCGTGCAGCGGGCGGGGTCTATGAGGCACGGCCGGCGGCGCCGATACGCCGATGGACAATGATCATACAGGGATCACCCCCATTCCTCTCATCAGTTAATTTTTCGACGTAAGGTTTCTCGATGGACGTTGTTTTGAAACTGACCAGGAAAAGCCACCTGAACTCCGGAGAGGGTGTTGTCTGTGTTTACCCTGGCTTTCTGAAGGAGTTTTGGGCAGGAGGATGACAATATGCAGGACATTCATCAAACATGCTGTTTGTGTGTCCTCCACACACGGCTTCTTGGGGCTTCGTGGGTGCGATGCGTAGTGGGTTGAATGGCGGGTGAAAGCTGGCAAAAGCATTTCCCTTATGCGGGCTCTTTATTGAAATCTGGCAAATACAAAGCAATACATTGTGCTGTAGTTGAATGCCGGAAGATATATAGTGATCACCACCCCCTTGCGGTGCTTGACCCTGCCGGGGGGGTCAAAATTGTAACTTACATTTTTTGATTTCACAACAATAGCACTATATAGCCCTATGGGGGGGGGGGTGAAAATTGTAAGATCTAGGGTTGAGGTAGCCTATGTGAGGATGTTACTTTTTTTGACCCCCCCCCTCAAAGAGGTCTTGGCCTACTTCTGGAGACTTTGAAAGGAGGGGGGGGGGGTGGAAATTGTAAGAATCTATGGGTGGGTACCACACAGAGCAAAATTACAATTTCCCCCCCCCTTGTCGACGTTTTACGAGTGTGTTTTGTAATAGCTTTGAACCTCTCTGCTTCGACAGTTTCCACATGCCTTTGGAACATGAACTTGGGCATCTTGAGCTCAAGATTGAACTTAATCCGGAGATTCTCGCTTTGCTTTCGTGCAGCACAACTGGCTCAACCGAGATCAACCGAAAGTTAGAACAACCGAAAGGGAAAGGGAGATAAAGTGGAGGACTCGATGCTCTGGTCTAAACATGGTGTCCCTGCCACTGGAGATTACAATTCTACCCTAGACATCCTTGAACGACCTGTACTTCTTATATAAATTGTTGGAGCAATGTTTCCACAAAAAAACATGCGCAACACACACTGTATAGTGCAAACAAATGGCAACCTTACAATTATACCTCTAAAGCGACATGTATCTGGTAAAGCTCTGAAGCCCCTCTCTCTTCCAGATATGTTCAAGGCCACTGCAACCCGGGAAAAATACTACACGGAATGTATTTTAGTGCGCCCACAAGTCCATATCACAATTACAACCTTCTTCTCCGACTATTGAAGCTCGTAAGAGAAATGTTGAAGCCGGAACATGAAAGGAAAACACTGCGCAGGGTGTACCATAGCGCAGCCAGAAAGCCATATTACAATTAGTGGCACTGGTAAGGTCCTCCCATAAATGTTGAGGCAGGCACAGCCCAGGAAAAGCACCGCACAGTGTGTGTTTAGTGCACCAACAAGTCCACATAACAATTAGAACACCCTTCTGCCACTCTTCAATTTTGTGAGATGTTGAAGCCAGAACATGAAAGGAAAACACTGCACAGGGTGTACCATAGTAC